CTGCAACAGCTCTACCATATGTGCTGTACCTCCACACTAGTCTGTATTCATTACTTATTATTAGACTATATTATTATCACAGACTCTGACTAGTCTTTATTTCAACAAAGCTTTAAAGCCTAGCTGCCTGATTTACTTTCTTAACAACAACAACAACAACAACAACAACAACAACAACAACAACAACAAATAATAATAATAATTTTCCTGGTCTAACCCTAACCTAGAACATAAATACAATTCAGGTTGTACTATAATTAATGTGTTCATGACTGTCTTATATTTAAAGGATCATTTTGAAACTCTTGGTTGAAAGTACTAGCTGTTGGGGGGGTTATTGTTTTGATACCAAGTCAGAAATGTCTAAATAATATGTGTGGTAAATAAGAGGCATACCATGTTATTTTTGTTGTTGTTTTATTATCACTACTTTTATTACACAGGGTTCTGTATGTTGTATTCATGATTAAATGCAGCAAAATAAACTAATTCAAAGGTAACAGATCTTTGTAATACTTGGTTTATTTATATAATAACCTTAATTGCTGGATGTTCAACCCCTCAGCTGTTGGCCTGCAGTAACTGAGGCCCCCGGAGAAATTTATTTGAATAGCCCTGTTCTAAAATGTGACGCAGTCCAAAGCAACAGTTTGATGAAGATCTGCCTTCATGGAGTGATACAACAATTTGTTGTTGTTTTTTTTAATAAAATACAGTACGAACAGACACTTGTCTTATGTTTTGAATTGATTGACATTATTTAGTATCAGACGTATCTTTAAGCTTTTCATCAGACCTGTTTAAAGAGAACAAACTGGCTGTTTGGTCTGGTTGAGTTCACCCCTCTGAACACAGAGCTGAGAAACCAAAGACCTGCGCCTGTATTTATAAAACTTCTTAGAATTACTCTTAAGAATGCTGCTAAGAGTGGACTTGAGTGTAAAAAATTCTGAGAGTAAAAGTCAGTTATGAAGCGTCTCAGCCTTACTTTAAGTGAAGTGTAGGAGTAATTCTTAAGTGTCAGTCTTAGAGCTGATGTGTGACACCTGGCTGTGCCACAAAGCTGATCCTGGATGACGTCGTTAGAAAACCCACCGGCATGGACCAATCACTGCCTCGGATTTCATGTTCAAGAATATTGTCGGAGAAATGTTAAGAGAGTGGATGACCTGCAGAAGGCTGGGACTAACATAACGAAGACTACCATCAGTAACACACTACACCTTCAGGAGGCTGAGACTAATGTAACAAAGACTACCATTAGTAACACACTACACCTTCAGGAGGCTGAGACTAATGTAACAAAGACTACCATTAGTAACACACTACACCTTCAGGAGGCTGAGACTAATGTAACAAAGACTACCATTAGTAACACACTACACCTTCAG